TCTGGTCGTAGAGGTCCTGGAAAACGGCGGTCAACACGTGTGTCAGTCGCGGACATCCGGTGGCGCAGAGTTGGCTCCTGTGAGAGACGGAGTCCACTCTTGTGATCATCGGTCCGCACGCGTCGACCCATCGCCGGTCAATGTATTGTAAGCTCGTGTAGATGTCGGCGAATTGCGGACAGTTTTGTCGCAGCGTTTGTGTCAAATCAAACAATTGGTGCCAATTGTTGTGAAGGTTTCCACAATCCATTGACCGTAGGTTTGATAATTTGCTGAACACTTTTGCAAATGTTTTATCAGTAAATGTAATGTCATTTTGACGACAATATCTGATAAGAGTGGCGATCAGATCAACGGTGATCTCAATGTGTGTCACACTCTCGAAGACTGTCCGCCGGAATTGTTTGGACACACATTCGTATTGGAATCGGTCTTTGAGTGCCATTTGTGTCAATACGAGTCCATACAAGTCGTCGCCGAAACGATCGAAAGAGTCTTTCGCATAGATTTTGGACATTGTTTTTGTGACAAACTTTTTTAATTGAAAACTGATTTTAAATTGTTTTTACACTAAATTGAAACACAAATGAAATGATTCTTTAGATATGTTTGCATAAAATGCAGAAAATCTATTATTTATTTAACATTTTGTGTATTGTTTCAAATGGAAGAAAAGTTAATAAATCTTTTAATACATTTGCTATTTATTTACTGATTAAGGTTGTGGTCAAGTGATACCACATGATAATCTGAATCTCTTTAATGTACTTGTATTCAGATTAATGTATTAAAATACCAGAGTTTTCAAAGGGAAATTATCATAGCGGTGTTTACATTATCTATCCTTATCAGATAACAGACATATACCGGTACATTCATATGGATGTATATTTAATGTCTGCTTAATATAACACAAATTATTAAGGTTGGTAAATTACAAGGATTTTTTTGAAGCCATGTAATTTACATTGTAAAATACAAAAATGCACGTAATATACTTGTCATTTTACTTACTATGGGGATATAATTAACGTATTTTATTCCCTCAAAATTGAACATTTTTATTGCAATTATGACATTAATTATACATTTATAACATTTTAATCACTAATTATTTCACATTCGACAATTGAATCTGGTCTATTAATTGATTTTTGACNTTAATTGATGATTATTTTTACAATAATAAACAAATAACAAGTGTGCAAACATTTTACCCAAGTTTTGTAAAAATCTTTAAAAAATTTTTGGTAAAATTTTTTTTAATGATGTATTTTACAAAATGAAAAATCTGTGCATGTAAAATACATGTAAAATACTATGTAAATTACATACGTAAAATACATGGTTTGTCATATTGCCAACCCTACAAATTATACAATTTAGTTAATTACAAGTAAGTTTTATGGTACACTTTCTTTAATGTATTAAATTAAAGTAAATTAATTATATTACTTGACTGAATCAATGTAGAAAATTAACGCGTATATTTGGAAAACTTTAATTTATGAAATATCCAAATTAAAGTAAATAAAAAATCAATTATTTCATAATTTAATGCATTTAAAAATTTCCATTTTATTTAGTGTTATGTTGGTTAGTATTATGCATAACATTTTAAGTGCAAGTTGGCACAAGTCAAATAATTTATCATAAATATAATGTTAATATTTGTAAATAAAAATTTTACAAGGCTTTGCACCATGTTTTCAAGGTCAATATATTTAACACAAATATAATTTATATAAAAGCCACTAAATTTTGATGTATTCTTACTATTGAATTCACAAATTAAAATAATTGTAAAAATATAATTTATCGGAACAGTCTTGATCATTTGGTTTGAAAAATATTTATAAAACTATAAATAATTAATTTTAACTTAATATGATTTTATTAACAAATATGATGTCACTATTGGTGACAGACATTCGCACGTCTATAATAACGCTAACAATCGGTTATATTGTGTATAAATTGGCAAAGTTTTATTATTTGAGGTCAAAACTACCTCCCGGTCCACACCCGGTGCCACTGATGGGCAATCTATTGTGTAAGTAAACCGGATTTAATTAATGGTTAATATCTGTTAATCTAAGGCTAATCTAATTATATTATGAATCAAAACAGTATTTAAATCCAAAGATCATTGGGATGTTGTGTTCCGACAGTTGGCCAAAAAGTATGGCCCGGTATTCACCTTCTGGTTCGGGACAACACCTCAATTGATTATTACGGACACAGAGATGGCTCGGGAGGCGTTCAGGAAGAATGATATGGCCGGTCGTCCCGAGTCTTATTTCGGTTAGAAATTAATTTATACATTCATAGATCTACAATATTAAATCTATTAATATTCATTTATTATAATATTATTTTGACCATGATGTTTATTATGCATACACTTTAGGTGCCATTTTGTCAAATGAAAAATACAAAGACGTGGCCTTCACTGACTACGGACACACTTGGGAAGCGTTGAGACGTGTATCCCATTCGGCCCTTCAGTATGTACTCAATTAATATCAATGTCATATAATAATTTAATTATTAGATTACATTTAACCATATACAATAAATGTTTGTATTATATTTTGACAAATTAATTTGATTAAGAATGTTTTTTTAATAGTTTTTATTTGTCATTCCACAATTTATAGAAAATATTCAGTAAATGATAGATTGGTTTTTGTGGCCACCGATTGTGTCGACACAACATTCAAAATAATGTTAGATAAGGAAGGATTGGGAAATGCCTTTTCACCCTTGGATTACATTTATTACTTATTTCTAAATATTTTAGCCACAAGTACTTTCGGAATAAAGTAAGTGTATTGACCATGGTTATATTATTTATAAAATAGTATAGTAAAATAATATACCTTGTATATTTGACATTACAGTTACGATTATGAGGACAAAGAATTATTACATTTTAGATATTGTTTACGGGACTTTGGTCGGGAAGTCGGGAATCGGTTTTTATTGTGGGAATTCTCCGCCATAATAAGATTTTTGGACAGAAAAATGGTTACAAAACATAAGCGAATCTTCGCGGAGGCCATTGATATCACCAAAAATAGGTTTATAAAACATTACGACGACTATAACGAGTCAATTGAGAGAGACTTTTGCGATGCACTCATCAGTGCTAAGAATGACGCCCTCAGAGAC